CATATTTGGATCCCACACCTAATTATTTAAAATTCCTAACATAACTCTTAATCGTGCTACATTTTCTAATTGAGATCTTCGAATTTCAACCCGATAACATGGCAGTGATCTCGCACTATTCTTTCACTCTTATCTTCAACTCTTCTAATTTTACATCATCGATGATAAAATTTGGAAGCAAAATTGGATGAATCATTTTTCATATGAAATATAGATCATGACATGGGTGCTGTCACATCACGGCCAATGTTCAGAAATTATTTAGATAATTCAAATAATTTATATTATAGAACGCACTAAACATATTATTTATATATTTAAAAAATAAATAAATTAAATATACATAGTGTCATGACCAAATCCTAATTATTCTCTTAAAAATCATCAATATTATGCTAATCTTTTTTTTATTTACTTATTTATAAATACAAATGTAGTCTTATTATAGAGTTATAAATGTCTAATTAACTTAATTTTTTTCATGAAAAATATACTCGATAAATCTTACCATACGAATGATATCAAAATAGAATCAAGACATACCTCTATGACCTCACTGGCCTATAAGCAATGAGAAGAACTGTGGGTGAGAACTGTCAGGTAGGGGTAGTCTGGAAAGCAAGTTTTTAGTAATTTGATTAAAATATGAAGTGAACAAAATTAGTGTATGGGAATCATTTTTTTTAATTTTTACAAAAAAAGAAAAAAAGAACAAACAGTAGTAGAAAGAATGAAACAAAATTTTGATTTTTTTATTATATATTTTTTAGTGTTTAAACTTTTTTTTTAGTGACCTTTAACTATTTTTCTAGCTTGTCAAACGATCCCCTAGTTGTATAAATTTTTTAATCAGTTTCCGCAATGCATGATCAAATATACCAGTTGATTAATAAGAAAATATCAAATCATTCAGTTTGTTTGGTTCTGATTTCAGAAAATTTTATTTTTTTATTTTCCATATTTTAATGCTTTCAAAGAATTTTTTAAATTTTTTTAGCAATTTTTTTTTTATAAAATTTTGGGACACATCTAACATAAATATACTTAAAAAGTAAAATATTTATGAAAAAATCTTTAAAAAATACACTAAATACCAAAAAACTATATGAAAATTCAGTACAGTATATTTTTAATATTTTTGCATATTTATTAATTTTTTAAATATTTTTTTATAAATATTTTACTATTTAGATACATCTAAGTAAGGTGCATTTTAAAAAGTAAAAAATTTGTTTAAAATTTAAAAAATATTCACTAAAAATAAAAAAACACGAAAAATAAAAAACACAATTTTTTAAAAACTGAATTCGAAAAACTGAAACCAAATATATTAATTAGTTTTTTTTAAAAAAAAAATTCAAATCAACGATAAATTTTAATATTTAAAATTTAATTTTTATTATTTTTTAAAAATTTCATTGAATTGTAATTTTTCCTTGACTAATAATTGCAGACCATACAAAAAACCATACCAAATTAAACTGCCTTAATGCCAATACTAGTATTATCTATTAAGATTTGTATTTTTTGTTTATTTGTTTGACAAAAATTATTAACAACCTATGATTATCAAATTAATCTTATTTTTGTGTGGATAATACATACGAGATTTTTTATAAAATAAATAATTTATATCATCAAAATGAAACCCGTGAAATTCCCCCATAAGCTCAAAAAACATCGTCCAATTCAGTTTTGGACAAGAGAAGTGAGACGCTAATGTAATGTTAGTGTCCATTCTCTCCTTAATTATCTTTCTTAACCCCTCTTTTCCTTATTAATAAATGCTAACAACTGTTTTATGATGATGATTAATGTTGGTCTGTGGATAAAAAATATATTAAAATGTAAAAAATAAATGAAAATGTATAAGTTGTTAATATATATGTGGTGTTTGTTGTGTGGATTCAAATAGGAGATGAAAAAATTGGGTGAAATTGGATTGCTGAAATTGAAACAAAGCAATGTCTTATAAAATAATGTCTCATTTTAATACTTAATCTAAGATTTTAAAAATCTTAAATATATAGATACACATATATACTGGACGGTGTGTATGAAAACCAACAATTTAGAACAAGGAAAAAAAAAAAACTAAAAAATTATCAAAATTAAAAAAATAAAAGTGTGACAGAATAATTTAGGAATTAAAAAAGATAAAATATAAAAAAAGTGGGAAGTACAAAAAATAATTACAGACTTCTGAAAGTAAAAGATTCATTTGTACAAATCTAATACTAAAACTTTTATGATTTTGCAATTAATTTTCTACTTTTTTATTTTTTTTGGTTTATATTTTCCCATAAAAATGTAATGTATACTTTATATAATAAAAAATAAGATAAATTATGAATACATCCTTTAAAATTTGTTTAAAATAAGAATTGTCTATTATGATTTAAAAAATTACAAATACTCGATTGTTTGAATTTTTCATTTAACAAAATTAACAAAAAAAATTGAAATTTCTAATTATTCTCCTATTCAACAATAAAGTGCTAATTGAAATATATTTTATGAAAACCAAACCAAACCAAATTTTAAGTCCCATCAAATGGGATCGATATTTATGATATCATTAAAAATTATTAAATAATTTAGTGATTTATTAATAAAATAGATTATTTGTCATGTAATTAGAAATTTGAAAAGGCAATATGCAATTCTCAAAACTACAAGAAATAACTTGTATTTATCTAAAAAATAAAAGGAAAACATCAAATCTGTTGAGATTTCAAAAAATAATTACAAATTAGTAATAAACTTCATTAATATTAATAATTAAAATTATAAAGATTTGTTTGGTTTATATTTTGAAAAAAAGTTTTGAGTTTTGTGTTGTATTTTGAAAGATAAGTTTTTGAAAAAAGTTTTGAAAATTGAAAACTTGTTTGATTATAAGTTTTGAAACTACTTTTTAAGTTGTATATTTTGAAAGTATTTTTTAGAAATTTACAAATTAAAAACTTGTTTGATTAGGAGTTTTCAAAATTAGTTTTCCGAAAGAATTTTTTTAGGTCTTGTGTTTTTTTGTAATGTAGTCATTTTTTTTGGGGTACAATTTATAGTCAATTTTGTTTACTTCTTTTACATACATAATCTAAATGTACTTTTTTATTTTTTTTTCCAACAAAAATATATGTTTTTATTTTTTTCAAAAAAATATTGTTTATTTTTTGAAAAAAATATTCTTTTTATTTTAATTTGTAGTTTTATAAAAAATAAATTTTATTTATTTTTTAAAAAAATTATTTAATTAAAAAATATTTGATTTTTCAAATATTTAATTTTTATATTTATTTATTATTTTTATTTCAAATATTTTATTTATTTTTTTAATATTGTTAAAACTTTTTAATTTTTTACCTTTTTAAATTTAAATTTTTTTGGATTGCCTATATATATATATCTAAATCATAACAATTATTTGGTCAATGCTTAAAAAAAAATAAATAAAATTTTTTTGGAAAAAATAAAAATATATTTTTTGGAAAAAATAAAAAATAATTTGAAAGAACAAAATCAAATATATTTTTTTGATTTTTTTTTAATATAACATAAAATTGTATGAAAGAGTTTTAAAATTAATTTTGAAAGATAAGTTTTTAAAAAGAGTTTTGAAAATTAAAAATTTATTTAGTTATGAGTTTTGAAAAAAAAAATTGAAATAAGTTTTGAAAATCCCTAACGAAAGGGATTTTGAGTTTTTGACTGTCAAATTGCTATTAAAAAATTAAATCAAACGGTATCAATTTCTCATGTATTTATAATGATTTTCTAAAAGATCCACTAACCTGTAATTTATCCTAGGAAATAAACACTAGCGTATTTTCTTGCAAGCCTGGTCTATGTAAAAATAATAATAAATAATACTTCACCTGTACAAATGTTAATTCAAATCATACAAATAAAAATGTACATATTCAAATCATAAAAATATTTAATTTGTTTGGTTCTAGTCTTTAGAAAATAATTTCTAAAAAATTCTACTTTTTTTTTTTTTGTCATATCAATGAAATTTTTTAATATTTTAAGCAATTTTTTTAATTTTTTTTAGACACATCTAACATAAATACACTTAAAAAGTATAATATTTGTAAAAAAAATCTTTAAAAAATACATTAAGTGCCCCCCAAAAAAATGAAAATTCAGTGCATTTTTTATATTGAATTTTCATATTTTTGTGTATTTATTAATTTTTTTTAAATATTTTTTCATAAGTATTTTACTATTTAGATACATCTAAATGAAGTGTATCTAAAAAAAGTAAAAAAATTGCTCAAAATTATAAAAATATTCACTAAAAACAAAAAAATACGAAAAACAAAAAACGAAAAACTCAATTTTTAAAAAATTAAATTCAGAAAATTGAAACCAAACACACTAATTAATTCACCGAATAAATTTGCATCTCACACATATTTAACTTGCACCTCACATATATTTGAAGAATAATACTTTATGTATCAATTAATGTACTAATTAGTATACTAACCGATGATGTGACATAATTTTAGAAGTTTTGAATATTTGTAATTTGTTTAATAGATGAGATCAATAATAATTTTTAGACCTACAAAAAATAACTCGTATTCACCTAAAAAATAAAGGGAAAATATCAAAGCAGTTGAGATCTTAAAAAATAATTATATATCAATAATAAAATTTACAAATTTTAATAATTAAAATTATAATTTGAATTGATGTATTTATAATTATTTTCTAAAAGGCCCACTAACCTGTAATTTATCCTGAAAAATAAACACTTACGTATTTTCTTGCATTCGAAGAGAAAGAAAAGTAGTTTGAAATATTCTAAAAAAGTGCACTTTTTAATTTAGTGACTTATATGGATTGGATTTAATATAATGTGTTAAAGAAGTGATATGATTTAAATAAGATAATATGACTTAAATAGGATAATAACCTTTTAACTTTTTATATTATTTAAGTTACGCCAAACTTGAAACTTTTCTCTTACCTAATTTTCTTTCATACCAAACACCACCACAACAGCATCTTTCTTACCAAACACCACCACAACAGCATCGTCTCTCCTGTTATAGTCTTTGTCTATTTATATATATAATAATTCAATGGCAGACATGAGAAATGAGAATTGATCATTGGATCATCATAATAACAATAACCTTAACAAGCCTAATTTCTCTGTATCTCTATCATCGGCTGGTAAACGAAGAAGAGAGAAGAGGAGAGAAGATGAAAGGGGTGGCGGCGAAGGTGATGGAGACATTTTACATTTCGCATGGATCGCCGACGCTGTCGATCGACGAATCGTTGGCGGCGAGGCACTTTTTGAAATCATTCAGAGACACCGTGTACGGCCTCAAACCTAGCTCCATCCTCATCGTCTCCGGCCACTGGGAGACCTCCGTCCCCACCGTCAACGCCGTCTCTGGACCCTCCGACACCATCTACGATTTCTATGGCTTCCCCAAAGAGATGTACAAGGTTTTTGTTTTTATTTTTATTTATTTATTTAATTTATTTTTTATTTATTTATTTTTTCAATTAAAATTTTGGTTAATTATTATAGGGTTGATTACGCTAATGGCCTTGTTTGATTTGTATTCGAGAAACATGTTTTGAGGTGAAAAGTACGAAAATTTGTTTGGTTTAGTTTTTTTTTAAAAGATGTTTTGAAAAATTATTTTGAAAGAGAAATTTGGAAAAAGTGATTGATTTGATGTATATGAGAGAGAGATTTGTTTGGAAAATTTGTAAACCAAACAAGTTTTGAAAAAAAATTTTAAAAAAATTTATTTGGTTTGATTACTTTTAAAAACTTATTTGTAAAAAAAATTTTTCAAAATTTTTTGAGAAACACAAACCAAAGAAGATCTCTCAACTATCACCAATACCTTCAAAGGAAAATTTCCATTGGGCCAGAAGTTTTAAAAAGTTGGTAGACAGGGAATGTGCTCTATCCACCTTATAATTAAAATGACATAATTATATATTTTTTTGAGTTATAATTTAAAAAAATATAACTAAATGAGATATAACTAAAGATTTCATGAGTGATATTAAAATATTATCATAATTAAAGGAAAAAATGACATAAGTAGAAATGCATATGTATATCCATTTTAAAGGGTGTGTATAATAGAATTTCTTGGTATATATTGTGGGTAATGCTATATACAAGTTGTGACATTTGTAGGTTTGATTACACAAATGTTAATTAAATTTAAAATATTGATAAATTATCATGATTATTTCACAATCCTTAGATGATATAATGGATTTTCTCCATTATAATCATGGAATGGTAAGGATCTTGGGGCTCGTTTGTTTTGGGGTTAAGTAGACGAGAGGGGATTAAGATGGTGGAGCTGTTATTTAGTATTGTGTTTGTTTGTAGAGTTGGGGAGGAGATTAGGATGGTGGAGGTGATATAGATGGAGGTTGGAGAGGGGATTGAGATGGAGGTTGGGGAGATGGTATTAGAAAAATAGTGAGGGGATTAGAAATTGTTTTATTTTTTTTATTTTTTATATATTGGGAATTTTTTTATAAATATTAATGTTTAATTTTTTATATTTTTATATTTTTTTTATTATTTTATATAAAAATAATTTAACAATTCTTACACTAACAATTATCATCAAAACAAACACAATTTTACTTAATCCCCTCACTATGAATCCCCTCACTAACAATCTCCTCACTATTAATCCCCTTACTATGAATCCCCTCCATTCTACCTCTGAAAACAAACGGGGCCTTAGGGCCCGTTTGTTTTAGAGTTAAGTAGATGAGAGGGGATTAGGATGGTGGAGGTGTTATAGTATTGTGTTTGTTTGTAGAGTTAGGGAGGGAATTAGGATAGTGGAGGTGATATAGATGGAGGTTGAGTAGGGGATTGAGATGGAGGTTGGGGAGATGGTATTAGAAAAATAGTGAGGGGATTAGAAATTTTTTTATTTTTTATATTTTTTTATTTGTTTTATTATTTTATATAAAAATAATTTAACAATTCTTACACTAACAACTATCATCAAAACAAATACAATTTTACTTAATCCCCTCACTATGAATCCCCTCACTAACAATCCACTCACTATTAATCCACTTACTATGAATCCCCTCTATTCTACCTCTAAAAACAAACGGGGCCTTAGGGCCCGTTTGTTTTAGAGTTAAGTAGATGAGAGGGGATTAGGATGGTGGAGGTGTTATTTAGTATTGTGTTTGTTTGTAGAGTTGGGGAGGGGATTAGGATAGTGGAGGTGATATAGATGGAGGTTGGGGAGGGGATTGAGATGAAGGTTGGGGAGATGGTATTAGCAAAATAGTGAGGGGATTAAATTTTTTTTTATATTTTTTATTTTTTATATATTGGGAATTTTTTTATAAATATTAATGTTTAATTTTTTATATTTTTTTATTTGTTTTATTATTTTATATAAAAATAATTTAACAATTCTTACACTAACAACTATCATCAAAACAAACACAATTTTACTTAATCCCCTCACTATGAATCCCCTCACTAACAATCCTCTCACTATTAATCCCTTTACTATGAATCCTCTCCATTCTACCTTTGAAAATAAACGGGGCCTTAGTCCCAATAGTATTATGGACTATGAAGTACTGATACTTCAAAACAAGTACTGTATCCGTGTCGGACATATGGACATTTCGGAGACACGAAAACAAGTATAGGACAAACTACATGGCATGTCCCCTTATTGAATTAATTTATTTTTAGAGGATATGCCGGGATATTTCAGGGACACACTAGGAACGTGCGAAGTTGTCTTTTTTTTCATTTTATTTAGTGTTTTTGATGAATATTAAATGTAGGGGTGGGCGCGGGTCGGTTGCTGCCACGGAACCTACAATCCGCCATCCGTCCGCCAGATTGGCGGATTGGAGAAAATCAATCCGCATTCGTTTGCCAATCCGGCGGATGTGGATTGAGCGGATTGACGGTTTGGTGAATGGATGCGAATCGGTTTGGCGGTTTAAAATTTTATAAATTTTCAACATAATTCAACTTGTGTACTTCCTCAAAAGAAAAAAGAAGAAAGTATTACAGTTAATGACTTAAAAAAATATTACAATCACTGCATGCCTCATTCAAAGTAAGAAAGTTTGAAACTTTAGAATATCACAATTACTGCATGCCTCATCCACATATTATAATCACAACATGCATCATCTACATAAAGTATTACAATCTGTGGTTCTTAAAAAATAAAAACAATTCAAACCACCAAAATCATGAACAGAGCAGTAGTAGAGATTGTATGTCTCTGTATTGTTACATTTATATTTGTTTTTGAAAACAAAAACCAACAGGCATATATCATATTTTCTATTTATTATTTTTAGAGATAGATTTAAAAACAAAAAAATATAGATAAATAATGCGTTTATTTTTTTAAATTCAAAAAAGATATTCAAGTTGAAAACTTTTTTCAACAGAATATTTAAACTATTTTTTAATTGAAAACACAAACAGAATATTTAAACAAACTGAAAACATAAAGTCTTATAAATTACTAGGGGTGTTCGCGGTTTGGCGGTTCGGTTGCGGCCAAAAGAATCTCAAATCCGCCATCCGTCCGCCAAATTGGCGGATTGGACAAAATCAATCTGCAACCGTCCACTCGTCATCACGCATCCGTCCAAAATGCGGCGGATCGGTTCTGTCGGTTTTAGCGGATCGGTATATCCGCTGGTCACCCCTAATTAAATGTTGAATGCTGAATGCTTATTATTATTATTTTTAATTTAAATACTTAATAGATCATCTACAAAAAAATATATAAATTGTAAGTGTTAATTTAAAAGTGTTTTTTTAAAATAAAAAATAAAATAAAATTAGAGTTACTTTTTGTTGATATTAATTGTTTGTGAATGCAATATTAATCTAGATAGCAAATAAAAATATATTAAAACATATTTTATTGCTGTGTTCCCGCTGTATTCGCGTCTCCATTTTTTTTTAAATCGCCGTGTTCGCATCCGTGTCTGCATCCATATCTGTGCTTCTTAAATTATGAGAGTTATAACTAAAAACAAAAATGAGTTAATCAAAGAGCTCTTGAATCACAACTAAAATAATATCATAACGAATATCATAAATAATCATAATTAATACTGCAATATATCATGACCAAAATCACAGAAGTAGAATTGTATATAGAATTTTTCCATATATTGTGCATTAAAATATGTACAACATTTTTAAACAATCTTATTTGGGCCAGTTTGGTGCGCCTTAATTGAGTTGTTTATAATTTTTTTTTTAAAAAAATTTGTGTCAATCAGTTTTTTATTACAATTTATTAGGTAAAAATAATTTCAATAAATTTGAAATGTGTGCTTTTGATTTTTGACTTTTGAATTTTGAATTATTAATTTATCATAAACTACACTAAAAATACCTTACCATGTGCTATTAAGCACGTGTTAATACTTTTATAATTAGGGGTCAATATATTGTTGAGGGGTTTTGGTATAATTAATCCTTAATTATAATTAAGTTGTGTATTTTCATCAAAATTTCATTATACAGTTAATTCCGTACACTTTAGCTTGCTTTTCCATTTCTGACAGTAGAAATTAGACGTAAAAAACTAAAGCGAGATTTTAATGTGTAAAATGAAATTTAGGTGAAAGTGTAGTTAACTCTTGTAAATTTTCATCATAATGAACTCTTGGGAGTAGGTCCTCCCCTGTACTGGTTTTTCTTGCAATTAGTTTGGTTTGAATGATTTGGGAGACAGAAATCAGTATGCAGCTGTGGATCTAGGATTCAAGCTTAAGGTGAGTAAAATATAGTTATATTTCATTCAAGTTTAAACGAAAAGTGGTAGATTTGGTGGGGGAGGGGATGAGGGTGTGGTGGGTGGCAGAGGTGGGCGACGAGGTGGGATGGGCGCGGTGGTGGGTGTTGGTGTTTTGCATGTGACAATTTTTTGTCAAAATTTTGAATAAAAAAACATTTTTTATTTAGCATGAAGTGAAAAATTAAGGTCATGTCACTAAAAGTTAAATTTTGTTATTTATTTATTTTTTTTTTCATTTTTTCTTTCTCGTTCAAATCATTGATCTAAATAAACACAGTGTAAAAGTAAAATGTGTCACAATTGAAGTCACATGACTAAATTGATACTAGTGGGAAACTTAAGGAACCAACCCACAACCCACATATGCTAACTTAGACTAATCTGTTCATTATTTATTTTAGTTGTGGTTGTGGTTGTGGGTTGCAAGTTTGATTTAATATACCAGTGACAATGCAGGACATGTTTAAAAATTTTAACTTTTGCTTTCATGAGGTTCGTTCCCCCTCGAAGTGGACTATTGTAATCTCCTTCATTTCTTTTGTTTTTATTTGTTAAAAAGGTATGTAACACTACATCACTAAGATTTGTCTAACCAACCAGACAGAATAATTAGGCCTCGTTTGGAAACAGACTAATTTAGTAACTTTTTAGCTATTTGGCTAAAATATGAGTTAAAAAAAATTAGTATGTTTGGGATGACTTTTTGACTTTTTACGAAAAGTTGTGCAAAAAGTAGAGAGAAAAGAGAATCTTTGACTTTTTGGTATTGACTTTTTGGCTAATTTAGTAACTTTTTGACTTTTTGACTAAAAATGAGGTTCCCAAACGAGGCCTTAGATGAACAACAAAGATGCCCTCATGTCTGTCCTTACTTCTCCCATCACCAAGCCAATAAAAGAGTTATGCAAACAAACGAAATCCGAACACATCCCAAGATAAATATTCCTTTTAACAAAGAAAGGCCAAATATGGAATTAGAGCATAAAATTTGGTGAAAATTTTAAAATTTTGGGTACCTAATTTTTGGCTAAATTTTTTAAAATTATAGAATCGACTTTAAAGTCAATTATTCATCTTTATTTTGAGTTAGCCGTTGGATCTGAAGCACATGTTTGATAATTTGTTGTAATACCAAAATAAGCTCAAGTTTCAAAAATATTATCTTGGGTGCCTAGTTTTTTGGCTAAATTTTTTAAAATTGGAGAATTGACTTTAAGCCAAATGTTCATCTTTATTTTGAGTTAGCTGTTAGCTGTTGGATCTGAAGCTTATGTTTGATTATTTGTTGTAACACCAAATTAAGCTCAAGTATCCGGCACTGGGAGCTCCAGAACTAGCCATGAGGGTGAAGGAGCTGCTGATGGCATCAGGGTTCGATCATGTGGATGTGGATAAAAAGCGTGGCCTAGACCATGGTGCTTGGGTCCCACTGATGCTCATGTACCCAGAGGCTGATATTCCGGTGTGCCAACTCTCCTTGCAGACCGACAAGGATGCAACTTATCATTATGACTTGGGGAGGGCATTGGCTCCTCTCAAGGAGGAAGGTGTTCTGATTGTTGGTTCTGGCGCTGCCACTCACAACTTGAGGACTCTCCGTCAGTCCAAAGACGGCTCTGTTGCTTCCTGGGCTTTGGAGTTCGATACATGGCTCAAAGATTCCCTTCTTAGTGGAAGGTATGTAGTTGCCATATACTATTAAGATTGTGTTTGGATCTTGAATTTTGCTACCAATTTGGGGAGGAAAAAGAAAAACAAAGAAAATATATATATAAAAAATAATTTTTATTTTTGTCAGTTGTCCCTTCCTACTGCTTTCCAACAAAAAATTTCTATACAAATTTAAGATCTAAATAGAACTTCAGTATTTCCTTGTCAGCAAAAAGAATGTACACATGCACAAGTTTGTCTTTCTGGTAGTTTGGTAGTATATCAATTGTGTCAAGTTCTTTGTGCATTTAGGATTCCGATGGAGTTTGATCAGGTTGCATTTAAAAAAAAATATAAATCAATTACATTTTTGGTCCTTAAAAGGTATAAATTTGGCTCTTTCTCAGTGGAAGGTAATTGCTATATACTGAAAGTATTTCCTTGTCTACACACAATGGAAATAGAATTAATGTGCTTGCTTATGTACAAATTTGCCATAATTGTCAGTAGTTCGGTATTTGGTAGCCTGTCAATTGGCTGCTATACATGCAAGTATGTCAATTTCTTCGTGGAATTTCCAATTAGTTTTCAACTACAAGTTTGGTAACATTGGGATACTAGCTGATGAACAACTCAGATCATCAGAATGGGCCTCGACTGCAGAGAAACAAACCTCTCTGCAACTGAAGAGAAGCCGGATCCATAAAAAAACTACTTGAAATGATCTTTTTATTTATATTTTGTTCTTTGCTATTCTGGCACAAACATGAAATCATTGTTAAGGTCCCCGACTAGAGAGATTGTTGTTTCCATGGCTTTGGAAGTGATTGTTTTGTTATTTCATCCTGTAGGTTTGAAGATGTCAATCACTATCAAGAGAAGGCACCAAATGCAAAAGTTGCACACCCATGGCCTGACCACTTCCATCCATTGCACGTAGCCATGGGTGCTGCAGGTGAAAATGCAAAAGCCGAACTCATTCACCATAGCTGGGACCTTCAAACACTTTCTTATGCCTCCTACAAGTTCACAACTGCAGCCTAAATACATTTGTCACAGAGGTGCAGCATCAACATCTTTGTCATTAAAAAATATTTATGTGCAGGGTAACCAGTCGATAAAAAACTCACGTGGTGGTCTCACTGTCGAGCCCACACATTGTAAGACTCATTCTCTTGTGAATGTTCTGTGACCTGTCCTATTACCAGTTTCTGTATAAGTATGAATGTGTGTTTGTTATTATATTTGCCTCGATGATTTTTTTGTTTTGTTCTCTTTGTTATGTATGAACTTTGAATAAGATGAGAATATCAATGTGAAGTGCATTTTAATTGAAAACGTGGAAAGATCCAATGAAGATACAAACCTTTTGGAAAGTTGATAAAAAGTTAGTTTTTTGATTTTTTTTGGATCACATCACCTCTTTATTTTTTTACACAAAAAAAAGTCAAAAAAAAAATCACAAAAAAACCAAAAAGCTAGCTACCAACTTTCCAAAACACCAAAAAGATATTGCTGGATTTCATATTGCAATGTCAGTACTAGTTTTGCTTGACCTCCAATATTCATTCTGAATTCAGATTAGGTTGTTAATCTACTAAATTTGATGAGTTTTCCATGCGTTGTTTGACCTCCCATTCTGAATCAATTTGTTATTGAGTAATGTTAGAGACATAAAAGATTTATCAATTTTTTTTATCAAATGTCTCAAATAACATTTTCCTTTGTCATTGGAGGAGTAAAGGATGTTTTGCAGGATAGAAAAAGGGTAAAGAAAGGAAGGTTTATCGTGTAACAATTTTGTGTGTTTTTGTGAGTATGATCATATGAGTCTTTATCCATTACGGGAGTTAGATAGGAGAGACTTAGATGGATTCAATAATATGAATTATTCCTGCACACGGGAGATCCGCAAGTCTTCTCCCCAAAAGGACTTTAATCATAATTTGATCACAATTTATTGAAACATGTTTACGAAGAGTAAGTGATTAATAATTAATGAATAAAAAAACAAATGATCATCAAAAAAAAATTAAATGGGAGCAAGCCCAACCATCAATACCCCCCTTGATGATAGAAAAGTCGAGGTGTAGTCCATCGAAAGAGTCCATCACATGTCTCACTTTAATGATTTGAATCATTAAGTCTCTGTTTGGGAAATGAGTTGGTTTTTTGACTTTTTAGTTTTTTTAGCTATTTTAGCCTGAGCTAATTTGGGAAGAGCTTTTTGACTTTTTGATTTTTTTGACTTTTTTTTGTGAGAAAATAGTGTAATGATTATAGGTTGGATGTGATGTTTTGTTTGTTGTGGCTAAAATAACCTATTTTGTCTTTTGTGGCTAAAATAGCCCCAAACCTCCTTGCCAAACGGAGCCTTAGTACAACACTATTTTATCAAAAAAAATTAATTAATTTAATTTAATAATTACAATTACATGGTATCATCATAGTTAATTTTTAAAAAAATTGATGACTTATTATTTTTTTATATAACTACGATAATCTAATTAATTTAATTTTTTAAACAAATATTATATGCATAGAATCATATAAATAAATAGTTTAAATAGTATAAATAAATGATTTAAAATGAACCATAAAATGTTAGCAGTTCAAATTATCGAAATGAAATCTAAAATGAGTTTAATAGGCCTAACAACACCTCTCCAATCCGATTAAGGACCGGAGAGAAGCCCATTCAAAAAATAAAAACTTAACAAATATGTTTAGAAACTCAAAACCAAACTGCTATTATGTTCTTGTTCATTTATTAATGATCACATGTTTAATTTGTTCTTATTTTATCAAAGCGATGGTATGTTCTCTTTGAACGGGAGAGAGGTGTGGTTATCTCCCGTTCACTTATGCAACCCTAATAATTTATTTATTACAAATAACAAGAGTATGGATATAAAATTGATCACAGAATCAATGACATAAAACAATTTTTATGGCCAAGTTTGTTTTGTGTGTGTGTGTGTGTGTGTGTGTCAATTTCCGACCACACTGCTAACTCAGTATTCAGCTGGAGAGTACTGGCAGAATAGATGGCACCTGTCTGACTTGTAACAGAAAGAGAAGATTCCGGCGGTGGTTCGTCCACCCGGGGGCACTCCGACGATCAAGTCAGTATATCTCTCAAAGATAATCAATAATGCTAAACTCACTGTTCAGAATATAAATTGTGTACCTTAGACCCATCGGGGGTGCCTTTCTTTTATAGTTAAACTCAATCCTAGTCCCCATAGAAGCCTAGCTTCAATGGACTTTTGCTCAGTGCTTATCTTGGACTCTCCAAGAGATAAAGATAAACTCCCTAAAAGTATTATCCTTATCCATGCTGAAGTCCTTCCTCATTCTAGGACTCTTGTGCCTTATCCGCTTATCTCGAATTCCCATATCTTCGGAGATAACCTCGGCCTTGCCGAGATAACCTCGGCGTCATGACTAGGACACGCGGCACCTCGGCTGACACGTCGGCGTCGCCTTGGCCATGTATTGGTACTCAGAAAATATATCCCCACAACTACCCCCTAGGTTCCATTACCTCCTCGACATTCTGAGGTGATGGGACCTATATCGATACTTCCTGCCAGTACATCAGTTTAGAGATTCCCAGCCGACATGTCTCTTTAAAGATAAAAAATTTCAAGAGCTCCCTCATGCGTATGAGTTGTCAAGCACAATACACTAACCGTCTTAACTACGCATTTTCCTTTTATTGGATCGTACTTCGTACGCTCTTGTAAGTCATCTCGCGCCTGCGTGCGCCGTCTGACGCATACATCATTTTAGGCGCATTAATTGCTTTCTTTTTTACGCCGTTTCAAGTTTTAACAAACCTCTTTCTCCTTCCGTCTCTTCACTTTACATCGTTTCTGAAGCTCTCTCTCTCTTTAGCTTTCTCAAATCCTCCATTGTTCAAACTTTCATAGCTCTGCAATTTGCTCCGTTTACCCCTTCCGGCGTAATTTTCACCGATCTTCCGCCTCTACAACCGTCGCCAGTCTTCGGCAGTCCCCATTCCAGCTTCTCTCTTTCTAGTAAGCCATTGTTCCTCCTGGTTTTATTTCTTGTTGTTCTCCAAGAAGTTTTGCTTCATTATTAATCGCCATTGCTGTTTTACTCAAGTATTTGATTTATGAGTCATGTATCTGAGTGTGTTTATTTCACGACTTTGCTCTTTGCCCATGTCTTGAATACATGCACTGCTCACAACTTTTCTGCACTTTTGCTATTGTTCTTGACCCGTTACACCTGTCTCGTGTTTCTTGATGATCCTTCACTGTTCTTGACTCTAAATCGCATTACATGTTTCTGTTTTCTGTGTTTTTGCAGATTCTCGCCTTCAGTCTTTATCTCCATAGTTTTAGGTCTGGGACTTGTTTGTAGAACCCAAAATTGAAAATGATTCCCATAGATTCTGTGTATTCTTAGGTTTTAGCCGAGGTCCCTAAAACCCTCCAAGGCACGCCTTTCTGAAAATCCAACCCCTTCTAGTTAAGCTGATATCATGGGTATGTGGAAACATAGGGTAGACACCCCGACCAAGTTAGATCACTTTAGGCGTGAGTTTGACATCCCAGCCGACATCCATCTGAGGTTGGCTGGGGAGGATGACTCTATCATGCCCACAACCGATTCCATGCCCCTCCCTGTTGTAGCTTTCAACGAGTGCGGACTTCGGTTCCCACTTAATATCCTTTTTCGTGAGATCATTCACTATTATAAGTTGAACCCAATGCAGCTTGCTATCAACTCCTACTGAGTCATCAATGGCATAATAGCCTTAGCCAAACAAGAAAATGCTAGGATTACCGGTTTGGTTTTTCTCAAAAGATGTTTTGGAAAATTATTTTGAGAGAGAGTTTTGGAAAAAGTGATTGATTTGATGTGTGTGAGAGAGAGATTTGTTTGGAAAACTTGTTTGGTTTACAAGTTTTGAGAATTTTTTTTGGGAAAATTTGTTTGGTTTGATTACTTTTTAAAAACTTATTTGTAGAAAAAATTTCCCAAAAATTTTTCAGAAATACAAACCAAACGAACGCTATGAGTTCGAGTCAAGTTCTCTATTATCCCCAGCGGAGTCGCCAGAAACTGTAGATGTCCCTGAACGCCCCGGGAGGACGAGTCCCGTTCTGTTCGTATTGGGGTTCACTACAAGTTCGGACTCTCAAATTGTCACAGTTCTAAATCTGAACCAAAGAGTCCAAATTCGGCAAATCGTTTTGAGAAAATAGATTTTGAAAGAAGTGCCAAACATGGACTGCTTTGCCAGATACAGAGTCGCCACCTAAATATTTTATTTTGGGGAAATTTAGGAAACCCTGACTCGTTTGCCTAAGGCCATGTGTCCGTCATCACCAAAGTTGCCTCGGCTCAGGAACTTGGGTACGATTGGAGAAGGTCACTTCGTGAGCACCCCCGCTCGCCCGATCAAAGATCGGCTTCTACTAACCATGATATCAATTTTTTGAAAACATTATGCGTTCTTATTCCGGTTATTAGCCTAGATTTACTATGTGATGCGCACAGCATACAAGTATAGACTGGGTCGTCTGAATTGGAACAAAACATTTCATGTTTATTTTTTAAAGTGGTTTGATAGTGCTACCCGCAAGTAGGCTAAGACGTGGATTTGCCACCCTCAGGTGGGCTTAGAAAATATGATTTTGCCACTATCTAGTGGGCTTAAAACTCACATTTGAATCATTGTTCTAATTCAAATTACCCAACCTTCACCCACAGGCATTCAGGAGATGGCGGCCTGTGGCTGATATGGTGGGGATGGCATATCGGAGAATCTAATTCCTGAGTGCCTCCCTTCTTTCCTTCTTCTTTTTCTTTCTTCTGCTCTTGTTTCCTTTCCGATGTATCCAAAAAATGGACGCTAAAAATGAGAGAGAGAGAGGAGTGTAGGTCATGGATGTTTTGAATGAGTTTAGTTCTCTTTCAGGTCTCAAGATTAATCTTTTTAAATCTAAACTTTTCATTTCTCCTAATGTTATTAATGTCTAGGCCAGATCCTTGAGTAGATTGTGTGGTATCTCTCTAACTCAAGATTTGGGTCATTATCTTGGCATCCCTTTGCTTCATAAAAAGTGTAACCGGAGTTACTTTCAATTTATTATTGATAGGATCCAAAGAAGATTGTTTGGTTGGAAAGCTAATCTTCTCTCGATGACGGGGAGAGCCACTTTAATACAATCAGTTACTTTCGCTCTCCCCTCCTATGCTATGCAAACTATGGATGTTCCCATAAGCATCTGTAAGGATATGGATAGACTGAATCGTAAAGATTCTGAATCTAGTAAGAAAATTCATCTTGTGAATTGGGA